AAACATCACAGTACAGTTGAAAAATATATGGCAAACAGAAATCCAATATGGATGGTGTTAAGAGATAGATGGGAGGTGTTGAATGGAGTTGAAGGATGGGACTAATAACAACTAACAACAACAAGATAACTAATGTAAAGCATACTGTGTCCATAATAAGTATATAGGTTATAGTTTGAGAGCTTTTGTGAAAGAGCACAGTTAGAAAGATATGGCATATAGAAGCAAACCGGATGGACATCATGAAAATGATCGGAGAGGTTGAGGGTAGAGGAAGTTCAGGAGTAAAAACAAACAAAATAGAATTCTTGTAAAATTGACTGTGTCCATAAAATGTATATAGTATGTATAAGCTGGAAGTAGAGGCCTAAGCATTGTTGTTCACTAGTTTACTCCAATTAGGGAAGGCGTGGTGGGGTTGGAAAGTAATAAAGGGAAATATTTTGTTTTAAAGGATATATATATATGTATATTTATTTATATGTATGTGTATGTACAGTTGAGGTGGTGAAATGCAAACTTTGCAAGGTGGAATTGAGGTACAGTAACGGTAGTACAGGTGCAATACATAACCATCTAAAAAAGGGAGGCACCGTGAGACCCAAACCGTTGCTGGCAGCAGCGCGTTAGACAGCTTCACATTCAAGAAGTGCGATAACAGACGGAGTGAAAAAAAATAATAATAATCACAGCATTGATTACAGAAATGATTGCAGTTGATATGACGCCATTGTCAATGGTTGAGGATGTCAGCTGTAATGCCCCAATGGCATATCTACACTGAACAAAAATATAAACGCAACATGTACGAAAGTGTATTTCTCTCAAATTTTGTGCACAAATTTGTTTACATCCCTGTTATGAGCATTTATCCTTTGCCAAGATAATCCATCCACCTGACAGGTGTGGCATATCAAGAAGCTGATTAAACAGCATGATCATTACACAGGTCACCTTGTGCTGGGGACAATAAAAGGCCACTTTAAAATGTGACCGACCGGCTCGATTCGGTATCATGTAGCAAAATTGAATTGTGTTTTTTTACATTGGATAAAAGTAGAGACTTAGAGCTATAAAATTGTACATTTCAGTTGAGGAACATGGGGAAGTAATTCAGCTTTGAAAGTTGATAAACTTGTAACCCCGCTTTTGAGAAAACGGCTCTTGAATATTTTGGTATAACTACTGGAGAGCTCTTCTTTGTCTACACCCATTCAGCATCGTTCACACTCTCTTAACCTCTTAAGGATCGGACCCTTTTTTTCAATTTTCACCTAAAATGACATACCCAAATCTGTAGCTTGGGTGGTCCTCTGTAGCTCAATTGGTAGAGCATGGCGCTTGTAACGCCAGGGTAGTGGGTTCGATCCCCGGGACCACCCATACGTAAAAATGTATGCACACATGACTGTAAGTCGCTTTGGATAAAAGCGTCTGCTAAATGGCATATTATTATATTATTTATATTATTATAGCTCAGGACCTGAAGCAAGGATATGCATATTTTTGATACCATTTGAAAGGAAACACTTTGAAGTTTGTGGAAATGTGAAATTAATGTAGGAGAATAACACATTAGATCTGGTAAAAGATAATTCAAACAAAAAAACATGCATTTTCAATTTTTTCATCATCTTTGAAATACAAGAGAAAGGCCACAATATAATATTGCAGTTTAGGCACAATTTAGATTTTGGCCAATAGATGGCAGCAGTGTGTGTGCAACGTTTCAGATTGATCCAGTGAAGCATTGCCATACTATTTTGTTTCAAGTCTGCCCAAATGTGCCGAATTGGTCAATTGATACATTTTCAAGTACATAACAATTTTGTATTACCATATAATTGTTGTAAGTTTACACACTCCCAGGAATGTCATACATGAAGGATCATTAGCTTACACACTAACTTTCACACATCTAGATTGCCAGGCAGGGTGGGTGTGGTGCCAGAGACAGCAGGGGTTGAAACTGTAGAATCCAGTTCCTACATTTGAATATAAAAATTGTTGTCGCAGTTGTCGACAACAAAAACAATAAACAAAAAACGACATCCTGCATGACATCAGCAGCCTGGTGGTCCAAAATAGCATAACTGGTGTATTTTAACACCAATAAACCCATCTGTTTCAAAAATAATTGTGTATATGTCAATCTAGCAAACCAGACAACTAAAAGCAACTTTCTAAACAATGTTTTGGTTTGTTTCTAGCTTCTTAGCTAGCTAGCTATCGTTAAGTTAGCTGGCTAGCCAGTTCAAATAATGACCATATCATATAGCTGACCTCTTAACTTTAGCTAATTTGTAATCATTATTACAGAAAATAAACTCACAACAAGATCAATATTTACAAGTTAATGGTGAGCTAATTGCAAAGAATTGCTTACGGTTGTGAGTGTGACAAAATAAAAGCAGGGCATTCTACTGGAGAATTGTAGAACTTGGACACTGTCTCGTTGGCCTAACGTTATATCCTAATTTGACTTTGGTGCATATCATGTTGTTCTTCAAATTACAATCTCTGATAAACACACACTATATCAAATAAAATCAAAGTTTATTTGTAAATGCACAGGATACAGAAGGTGTACGGTACAGTCAAAATGGTTACTTGCATAGTGGAGTCTATTGTTTAGACATGTAGCTAGCTAGCTAGCAAACTAAACAATGTACCATAATCCCAACTCATAATGTTACTACCCTGGATGAATTTGCTGGTAGCCAAAGTTAACCAACTAGGTTCCATGTTAGCTAGCTAGCTAACATTAGGCTATAACTAGCAATGCAAATGGCTCTGAGATACTAATAATATTACTACACAGATCATACACGTAACGTTAGCTAGCGAGCCAGACAGCTAACATTTGCTAGCTAGCTAACAGTATGCTTTAACTTGCAATGAAAATGACTTTTTGACAAAATGTAGCTAGCTAGACTGTCTTACCCGTATACATGGATGAACGCTTCTCCCTATCTGTCATGGATGCCATGGTTGCCCTTAGTTTGAAGATGTAATCCGGAGACTGGTGTTTTATACAACAGCCTTCTATGTGTTCTCTTTTCGACTCCCTTCGCATATTTGCAATCAAACGCCAGAATCTTCTCAATTTCCTTAGCTATCATACTGCTTCCCTCGGCCATTCCACTGATTTCAAAACTAGGTCCTTCAGAAAGTGGAGAGCATTAGCAACACTGTTGCAGTTCTTCTTGATATCTTTCAAAAAAGCTGCGTTGGAAAAGATTACCTACACATACTGAGCTGCTCATGTTATAGACAGAAGATTGCTACATGGCAGACCAATACGAAATCATCTCTTGGCATGTCCAGCTCATCCATTATCTCAGCCAATCATGGCTAGCGGTAAGGTTCCTGTCTTTTTCCATGGCTAAACCAACTAGGCTTGTAATTTAACAATTGTATTCATATTTACAGATGACATACAAGTTTGTTATTGAGGCACTTGAAAGTTCACATGTTCCAGAAGGCATTTCTGCCCCAAAACACATTTTGATAAAAATGGGGATGAGGACTATTTCTGTCTGTAATAAAGCCCTTTTGTGGGGAAAAACTCATTCTGATTGGCTGGGCCTGGCTCCCCAGTGGGTGGGCCTGGCTGCCAAGTGGGTGGGCCTATGCCCTCGAAGGCCCACCCATGGCTGCACCCCTGCCCAGTCATGTGAAATCCATAGATTAGGACGTAATTAATTTATTTCAATTCAATGATTTCCTTATATGAACTGTAACTCAGTAAAATCTTTGAAATTGTTGCATGTTGCGTTTATATTTTTGTTCAGTATATGACTGCAATAGATAGAACTTCCTTGCCCCCTAGCGGTCATTCACAATAGGACCATATTTTGCATTGTGAAATCACATGGAATGTTATGAATTTTTCTTATCATTTTAACTGAAAACAGATTTCTTCTGGGCAGTTTAAACATCAACAAAAAAATATATATTTATCACATCCCTGGTGTGTTTATGTGTGCGTGTGTGTGTGTGTGTGTGTGCGTGCATGTGCCCTTGTGTGTGTGCGTGTGTGTGTGCGTGCGTGCGTGCGTGTGTGCGTGCACTATACCCCATAATGACAAAGCGAAAACTGTTTTTTTAAAACATTTTTGCAAATGTAGAAAAAATAAATTAAATAAAAATACCTTATTTACATAAGTATTCAGACCCTTTGCTATGAGACTCGAAATTGAGCTCAGGTGCATCCTGTTTCCATTGATCATGCTTGAGCTGTTTCTACAACTTGATTGGAGTCCACCTGTGGTAAACTCAATTGATTGGACATGATTTGGAAAGGCACACACCTGTCCATATAAGGTCCCACAGTTGACAGTGCATGTTAGAGCAAAAACCAAGCCATGAGGTCGAAGGAATTGTCCATAGAGCTCTAAGACAGGATTGTGTCGAGACACAGATCTGGGGAAGGGTACCAAAAATGTCTGCAGCATTGAAGTTCCCCAAGAACACATCATTCTTAAATGGAAGAGGTTGGGAACCACCAAGACTCTTCCTAGAGCTGGCCGCCCGGTCCAAACTGAGCAATCGGGGAAGAAGGGCCTTGGTCAGGGAGGTGACCAAGAACCCGATGGTCACTGACAGAGCTCCAGAGTTCTAGAAGGACAACCATCTCTGCAGCACTCCACCAATCAGGCCTTTATGGTAGAGTGGCCAGACAGAAGCCACTCCTCAGTAAAAGGCACATGACAGTAAAGGGTCTGAATACTTGTGAATGTGAAATGTATGTTTTAATATTTTTTATATACATTTGCAAAAAAAATAATTAACAACTGTTTTTGCTTTGTCATTATGGGGTATTGTGTGTAGATTGATGAGGGGAAAAAAACAATTTCATCAATTTTAGAATAAGGTGGTAATGTAACAAAATGTGGAAAAAGTCAAGGGTTCTGAATACTTTCTGAATGCACTGTACGTGTATAACTGCGCATGTGATGCATTTTCTTACATTATGCACCCACCTTCGTCGTCTTTACTTTGTTTCCTGTACTGCAGCTCCAGCCTTTCAGGTCAGGCAACACTTTACACTCCTCCCCATCCATACATGGATGCATCTGGCACCACCACTTCTGTGCAACTATAGATGCTGCAAGAGCCAAAGAGAGAGGAATGCAAGCAGTTAATGTGTGCCCTTTAAAAGGCAGTGAAAAGACACTTCCTCTACTAGACTACTGTAACAACTGAACCCACAACAAGACGTCTGTTTCTACAAACATGTCAGTGAGAGTGAAGCCTTTTGATCCATGACTGACAGTAGAGTAAAGAGAGATCCTCCATGACTGTGAGCTGCCTGCCTGGCTGCCTGAGCTGTGTGTTTCCAGGAGTGAATTACAGGGTGTGGGTCAATGTCAAGCGGATGAACAAAGTGGCAGGAGGGGAATAAACAGAGTGGCACAGTGGGAGCAGAACAGGCCTCCAAGGTCTACAGCTGCCTCTGAGGAGGCCAGTAGGGGGTAAGGCTTCCCTTGACATTTCTAAAGCTTCAGCGAATGGTGTCAAGATGGGAGGAATCCCCTGTCAGAGCCATTTCAGTACAGAACAGAGGATAGGGATCAATTCACTTGTCACAGGGGCCATTGTTGACATGATATTAAATGACCTGGCCCATTCTCTACTCTCAGTGAGCCAGTGCAGCAGCACGCCAGGCTTTATTGTTTCATAGTCCAGTGGTAGACAAACAGCTGGAAATGTGCATTTGCAGCGTACAAATGTAACATGATGAACAGGAATGACATTTAATCTCACGGGTTGCCAAAAACGCCTATCTGAAAGCCACACCCCCAATAGGCCACACCTCCTGGAAATAAGATATGGATTACATTAAAAAAGACCAGCATGAAAGTGAATAAAAACCCAACTGATGTTTAAATTATCCCAAGTTCGGGTAATCCAAAGGCATGGCCTACTGGTAACACGGCTTTCAGAGTTAATTTTGGCCACCCGTGAGAGTAAATGTCATTCATATTCATATTCCATTTGTACACTGCACAATCTAAATTTCCTTCAATATTTTTGCACAACACACATTTTAATGTAAAAATGTATAACAATAATATTTGTATATTATAACAAAGTGGTGACTATCCCAACATTGTACGCCTTATTAAAGCTACAATGGTGTCAGTGCTCAATACAACAGAACAGATTAACCGGAATTACATTTAATCTCACGGGTGGACAAAAATAAATATCTGAAAGCCACACCCTACTAAGCCACGTCCCCAGTCTTCTGCTCTTACCCAGCATCAACAACACAACTTAAAGACAAAAATGGGTTGTTTGTGACCCAACTGGCTGGGTCAAAATAACCCAACGTGTGTTCTGTCCAATATTTACCCAAATTGGGTTGTTTTTAACTCAGCATTATGTTTAGATTGATCGGTAGATGCAGGGGGGGAAAATGACAAAACGTAATAGTAGAAGAAAATAGCTTACCCTATCTCAAATCTTGAAACCACACTATCTCTGAGTGATACATGAGTGATACAAGACCGATTTTGGAACAGTGTACTGCCTGTTACTGTGTTGTTTAATACTGTCCTGTCAATAAAAATGAAAAAAATACGAGAAAAATAGAAAAATAACTATGACCGTACCGTCCACACAAGATGGAGCCGCTCTTGTTGTCCCGGCAACCTGTCCGGGGAAGCAGGAACATTTGACCGTCTGGGATCTCTCCTCAATCTTGTTCTTGTTGCAGCAGCGGTGGGCAGCAATCACTTCACAGGTCCCTGCTTTGACATGCACTGCAAACACAAACAGAGATGGCTCCATGTTCATGTTCCATGTTCATCACCCCAGCTCCTGCAGACAGCAGACTACATAGACTAAAGCTGTGTCTGTAAGGACATATCTCAAATTACCCTATTCTCCTTAATGCACTATACATGTTTGACCCATGTTTGACCAGAGTCACATAGGGCTGCCACATAGGGCTCTGTTCAGATTAGAGCACTATATAAAGCAGGGGTATTCAAATCTTACGAGGTCCTGAAGCTGCTGGTTTTCTGTTCTACTTGATAATGAATTGCACCCACCTGGTGTCCAGGTCTAAATCAGTCCCTGATTAGAGGGGAAGAATAGACAAAAAAGCAGTGGAACTGGCTTTGAGGTCCATATGTTAACCCTACACACAGTACCCCATTATGTCAAAGTGGAAGTATGTTTATTTTTATTTTTAGAAATTCATAAAAAATGAAAAGCTGAAATGTCTTGAGTCAATAAGTATTCAATCCCTTTGTTATGGCAAGCCTTAATAGGTTCAGGAGTAAAAATGTGCTTAACAAGTCAGATAGTCAGATAATAAAGATAATCTCCTGAGTGGCGCAGCGGTCTAAGGCACTGCATCGCAGTGCTAGCTGTGCCACTAGAGATCCTGGTTCGAATCCAGGCTCTGTCGTAGCCGGCCGCGACCGGGAGACCCATGAGGCGGCGCACAATTGGCCCAGCGTCGTCAGGGTAGGGGAGGGAATGGCCGGCAGGGATGTAGCTCAGTTGGTAGAGCAATGTGTTTGCAATGCCAGGGCTGTGGGTTTGATTCCAGTAATAAAATAATGCATGCACTCACTAACTGTAAGTCGCTCTGGATAAAAGCGTCTGATAAATGACTAAAATGTAAAATAATAAGTTGCATGGACTAACTCTGTGTGCAATAATAGTGTTTGACATGATTTTTGAATGACTACCACATCTTTGTACCCCCACACATACAATTATATGTAAGGTCCTTCAGTCGAATAGTGGATTTCAAACACAGATTCAACGACATAGACCAGGAAAGTTTTCCAATGCCTCGCAAAGAAGGACACCAATTGGTAGATGGGTAAAAATAAAAAGCAGACATTGAATATCTCTTTGAAGTTATTAGTTACACTTTGGATGGTGTATCAACAAAGATACAGGCGTCCTTCCTAACTCAGTTGCCGGAAAGGAAGGAAAGGAAAGGAACCCGCTCAGGGATTTCTCTATGAGGCCAACAGGGACTTTAAAATAGTTGAATGGCTGTAATAGGAGAAAACTGAGGATGGATCAACATCATTGTAGTTACTCCACAATATTAACCTAATTGACAGAGTGAAAAGAAGGAAGCCTGTACATAATAAAAAATATTCCAAAACATGCATCCTGTTTGCAACAAGGCACTAAAGTAATGCTGCAAAAAATGTGGCAAAGCAATTCACTTTTTGTCCTGAATACAAAGTGTTATGTTTGGGGCAAATCCAATACAACACATTACTGAGTACCACTCTCCATATTTCAAGCATAGTGGTGGCTGCATCATGTTATGGGTATGCATGTAATGGTTAAGGACTGGGGAGATTTTCAGGATAAAAAATAAATGAAATGGAGCTGAGCACATGCAAAATCCTAGAGGAAAACCTGGTTCAGCCTGCTTTCCACCAGACACTGGGAGATTAATTCACCTTTCAGCAGGACAATAACCTAAAACACAAGGCCAAATCTACAATGGAGTTTCTTACCAAGAAGACAGTGACTGTTCCTGAGTGGCCAAGTTACACTTTTGACTTAAATCTACTTGAAAATATATGGCAAGATCTGAAAATGGTTGTCTAGCAATGATCAACAACTAATTTGACAGAGCTTAATTAATTTTGAAAATAATAATTGGCAAATGTTGCACAATCCAGGTGTGGACAGCTCTTAGAGACCTACTCAGAAAGACTCATAGCTGTAATCACTGCCAACGGTGCTTCTACAAAGTATTGACATTGTAAAATAATAGTGAAGACATCAAAACTATGAAACAACACATATGGAATCATGTAGTAACCAAAAAAGTGTTAAACAAATCAAAATATATTTTTTATTTGAGATTCTTCAAACCAGCTCTCAACCAGCTTCATGAGGTAGTCACCTGGAATGCATTTCAATTAACAGGTGTGCCTTGTTAATTTGTGGAATTTATTTCCTTCTTAATGTGTTTGAGCCAATCAATTGTGTTGTGACAAGGTAGGGGTGGGTATACAGAAGATAGCCCTATTCGGTAAAAGACCAAGTCCATATCATGGCAAGAACAGCTCAAATAAGCAAAGCAAAACGACAGTCCATCATTACTTTAAGACATGAAGGTCAGTCAATCCGGAACATTTCAAGAACTTTTAAAGTTTCTTCAAGTGCAGTCGCAAAAACCATCAAGCGCTATGATTAAACTGGCTCTCATGAGGATCGCCACAGGACAGGAAGACCCAGAGCCTGTAACAACCCCTGAAACCTTTTGAGGATCTGAGGTCCCAATTCAAATATTTTCTGCCTCCTGAGGGGGAATAGGCATAGTCGTGCCCTCTTCACGACTGTGTTGGTTTGTTTGGACCACGATAGGTCCTTAGCAATGTACCCTACAGAGTCTAATCCAAATGTAGCAATCGGTAGCTTGATTGGTAATACTCCTCCTGACCTTAAAAGGCCTTTGGGAAGAGTGGGGAGGAGGAAGTGTATTAGAACCTACCAGGCAGGCACCGCTATATAGCTGACCTGCAGCTCACTGCACAGATACATCTCTGACGTACATTCATGCTTAAATTGTTCTCCATGTAGGGGGGCTTTTCTTTCCTGCACCTGATGTATTATGCATAGGGAAATCCTTCTTTAAAAGCTGAGAGGGCCAGATCTCCCATGGTGAGAACAAGGACAATATAGTAATTGCTTCATGAAGTAAGAGATAACCTCATATTTAAAATACCCCATATAGATTGGTGATGAATTATTAATTCCAAGTACAAAATGGAGACATTGGAGATGATTGAACTAGGAATGCATCAATGACACAGCAATGTTAGCAGAAATAGGTTGTCGGTGGTGTGTTTTCAAATGTCTCCTTTGATATAAGGAATCATGGATTGAAAATCAAGTCACATTTTATTTGTTACATACGCCAAATACAACAAGGGTAGATCTTACCGTGACATGCTTACTTACGAGTCCTTAACCAATAATGCAGAGTTTTATAAAAGTACAAAACATTTGCTAAATAAATGAAAGAAAAAATAGTAACACAATAAAATTAAAATAACGAGGCTATATAAAAGGAGGACCGGTACCGAATCAATGTACAGGGGTACGGGTTAGTCGAGGTAATTGAGGTAATATCTACATGTAGGTAGGGGTTGTTACAGGCTTTGGTTTTTCCATGTATGTTTTGAGGATAGCTCGTTAGTACGTAGGGCGCACCGATTGGTGTCTCCTCATTAGTCAGTATGTGCTACACGTGCTGGTTGCCATCTCGCTAGTGGGAGGCTGTGTCACCTGTGCTGGCCCAGGTGCTATTTAAGAGTGGCTGGCCAAGTGCTCCAGTTGGCTTGATAGATGCGGAGGGTTCACACCTTTAGTTGATGCTACCGATTTTGATTTCTAGACCAACAATCTTTTATCTGATTTTGTTTTGCTCCATCTTTTTGGTTTGCATCCTGTCTTTAAGTTTGGTGTGGGTTTTTCTTTTGTTTGCCTATTCTTGGGCAAATTTAGTGGGTGCTCATGGTGGGTGTTTTTTAGGTTCCAGTTGTTGTTGCTAGTCAACTTTCAGTGGACACCCCCATGAGTGTCTTTTCAGAACCCCTCCTATAACCCTACCGGTTTCATTTTGGTTGTTGTTAGTTCCCCCTTCTGTTTGAGCGACACTTTTGTTTTCTTGCTGGGGAACGTAACAGGGTAAAGTGACTGGGCATAGATTTAAAAAAACTGAGTAGCAGCAGCATGTGTGAAGTAGTGTGTTTGTGTGTGTTGGAGTGTCAGTGTAGTGTGTGTGGTTAGAGTCCAGTGAGTGTACATCAAGCCTGTGCAAGAGAGTCAGTGCAAAAAAAAATAAAAAAAATAAACGATGCCGAGCAGTTGCCATACCAAGCGGTCATGCAACCAGTCAGAATGCTCTCGATGGTGCAGCTGTAAAACTTTTTGAGGATCTGAGGTCAAATGTCAAATATTTTCAGCCTTCTGAGGGGGAATAGGCGTAGTCGTGCCCTCTTCACGACTGTGTTGGTTTGTTTGGACCATGATAGGTACTTAGCGATGTGGACACCAAGGAAATTGAAGCTCTCGACCCGCTCCACTACAGCCCTGTCGATATGAATGGGGGCGTGCTCTGCCCTCCTTTTCCTGTAGTCCACAATCAGTTCCTTTGTCTTGCTCATGTTGATGGTAGATGTTGTTGTCCTGGCACCACACTGCCAGGTCTCTGACCTCCTCCCTATAGGCTTTCTCATCGTCGTCGGTGATCAGGCCTACCACCGTCGTGTCATCGGCAAACTTAATGATGATGTTGGAGTCGTGGGTGAACAGGGAGTACAGGAGGGGACTAAGTACGCACCCCTGAGGGGCCCCCGTATTGAGGATCCCCTGTGGGCGGCCCATCAGGAAGTCCAGAATCCTCTTGCAGAGGGAGGTGTTCAGTCCCAGGGTCCTTAGCTTAGTGATGAGCTTGGAGGGCACTGTGGTGTTGAATGCTGGGCTGCAGTCAATTAACAGCATTGTCACGTAGGTGTTCATTTTGTCCAGGTGGGAAAGAGTACATGTCCTGGTATTCCGTCTGGCCCTGCGGTGAATGTTAACCTGTTTAAAGGTCTTATTCACATCGGCTATGGAGAGCGTGATCACACAGTCGTCCGGAACAGCTGGTGCTCTCATGCATGGTTCAGTGTTGCTTCGAAGCGAGTATAGAAGGCATTTAGCTTGTCTGGTAGGCTCACGTCACTGGGCAGCTCGCGGTCCGTGATAGTTTGCAAGCCCTGCCACATCCGTCGAGAGTCAGAGCCAGTGTAGTAGGATTC